AGATTGTTTCCAGTGGTCCTAATTCTCTTTTATACTAATTAGATCTTTGTCAAAAAACAAATATATATAATTTTTGTATGAACAGTTTCTAGTTTCATTGTGACTTTGATTAAGATCTGTGAATCTCATGACAAGTCTCTGACTTGTGGTAAAGATTGCTTTAGTGGAAAGCTTTAAAATCTTGCTCCAATCACTGTCTCCTTGCATTGTTAAATTAAAGGACCAAACAAATAAATAAAGAAATGGCAAGAACACTGGGATCAGAGAAAATGACAATAAAATATAATTTAGGGAAAAAAGTGCAACATTTGATAGAGTCAGAGCATAAATATCAAACCATAATATTAATAATAATAAAAAAGATTGAAACACACAAGCAGGACAGCAGCCATTAAAAGATACAACATTCATGATCTTTCTGGATCCTGATGACAAAGAGTCTCCCTCTGTTGAGACAACAGGAAAAGCTCTGCCAAACACTCGTCTGTCTGTATGATCCTGCTGAGGAAGACTAGTCTACATTCATCAGCAAAGCAGCAGCAGCAGAATTATATACCTCGCTATATCAGCATACAGCAGGTCAGAAGTCAGAAACACAAGACTGACCAGAGTCATCAACAGAAGGAATAATATGGCTAATACAGCTATTTAACACAGCCATGTTAGCACCCAGCCACTGACAGATTAGCACCACAGTGTACCTCCATGCTCAGTTTGTCGCTTCATTCGCAACCTGCGACTCAGTGCCAACACTGACTTCAAGGAGGGTCTGGCACTTCATAATAGCAAAGTTAAGAAATGGAAAGTTCGCGTTTATTTGGGATCTTTTTTTTTTCCTGTCTCGACAAGGTCTCAAAAGGTAGCAACAGAGTGCTCCGTGTCGAAACCTTAGAAGGAGAAGAATGCATTTTAATTGTCTAGGTAAAAAGCAGGCCCAAGTCTCCCTCTGTCTCAGACACAGTGGAAGTTTGCTCTTCTCTACGCAGACACACCAGCGGTGATAGCAGCAGCAGCCAATGCAGAATACACGATAACGTGGCATAGTGGGCAGAGAAAGAGTTCAAAACAGAACCAGGTTTCCCAAAACAATTCAATTTACAGGTTGTCTTTTCTGCTCTTCTTCAGCAAGGCTATTCTACGATCGAGACACGACTAACGGCTCTCATCTGCCTCTTAGGTTGACTATTCTATAAAATGCACTGATTTAGGGTTCAGATGAGGTTTTCATTTCATTATTGAACTTCAAGTTTAGGTTTTGGGAAACCCAGTCCCTGGTTTCTGTAGGGAAACCCCCTCCAGACTGACAGAAGGTGCAGATTTGTGTTCTCATATAACTGATTAAGGCACCTGGTTCAGCAGGCATCATATTCAAAATATTTTTTTTTCCTTCTAAGTGTACAAACCAAGTGCAAGGTGAGTAATGCTGTTGGTCTTTTAACTGCCACAGGGAGGGGAAAAAGAAAGATTGGGGGGAGCAAAAAAAACCAACCAAACAAAAGAAAAACCCCAACAGGTATGTGTGGTATAAATATACTGTAACTGTGGTATGGACACCCTAAACCAAAATCTGATGTCTCTTTGTGCTCATTCAATAGCAGCAAGTATGAAATCATACAACAGAGCGTACAGAGAGCCCAAAAAGCCATGCAACAACTTTGTGACAATGAACACCCTTTCCCGAATTCTTCCCAATCTGCGAGGAACTCACAGACTTGATTCTCTCAGCGCTATGCAGGGAATCGCCATGCAGAGACAGCTGCGTTCTTATCTGGGGGGGAAATGTGGAGGGTAGTAGTACATGTTTTTGTTTTGTTTGTACAAGCAACAAGGGTTCAAACAAGACAGGATATACATTTGAAATGCCAAAAAACAAAACACAAAAAACCCTCAAAGCCAGACTCTTAGACCTGACAGCACAGCTAGTCCGAGGTTAGGTCATTTAACATTTTTATTCCTGTGATGATTTTTTATGGTAATGTCTATTTTACAGGGTAAGAAGCTTCCTGGAAACAATTACCATATGTACTTTGGTACCAATAAAGGGGAACAGTAAGATCTTTTAAAAAAAACAAAGAAAAACTGGTCACATGACTGTCCTTGTAGCTCTGTTTTGGTCTCTACCGGTTGTTGGCTGCAGCAGACAGACAATCTACTGCAGCCAATAAACCGAGACGATGAGCACGAAGCAAAACCTAAAAAAAAGGGTTTACATGTAGACAAACTGATTAGTCCAAGTAAATAATCCCTGTTTATAATTCTGGCTATAGATAAATGGCACATTGAGCTGACATGCTGGACTCCAATTAATATAACTGGAAGTTTATGATTTCAATACTTTCTCCTGAATTAGCACCAAATTACACAAAGCTGTACTGGAGGAAACTTTCTGGACATTTTTTTGGAAATTATTACACACTGTAAAACAAAGCATTACCCTATAAAAACCGTCTCAAGAGCACTTCTATGCACTTAATTGCACTCATTCAAAACTGCTCTTCCTGAATGAAGCTACATCCACGTGATCTTTAACAGAACCTCTGTGGCTTTGAGCGGTGGTATCAAATCCGTGAGACTGGCTTTTACAAAAGAAGTATTGGTACGCTTAACAATAACGATCATACAAGTCGATAGCACAGAAATGGTGTTGTTGTTTTAAACAAGAAACAGTACAACTCTTCCTCTGATTGGTCCGACAGTGAGTCAGTGAAAGTGATCTGGGCGGAAGTCTGATCTGATCATAGTTACACTGAATGAAATGGTCACACGGAGAGTGTTTTCTGTAAGCACATCTGAATATGGGTGCCTTTTTTTTTGTTTTTTTATAAATCTTCGTAGCATTTCTCGGGACAACGAGGCGTAATCAGCACCATGTGACAAACCCCAGGTGGATCACGACTGGAAATCAGAGTGGAAACCATTCAGAGAGGAAGATGCTGCAGATTGTGTTTGCAAGAAGACCAAATTTGGACAAAACGGTGACATTTTGTGAGTTTTTTTGTAACAAGTCTGTTGGCCTTTGCTTTTAACTTTTATAGAGCATTGCACCATAGTGATTGACATTAACGATTCATAACACACACACTCTCTCTCTCACACACATACAGTACGCACAATATTTTGTACAGAGTAAAGAATGGCGACAATAATTGGAATACATAAATATACTTTCTTTTGATTTTTATATGTCATCACATATGTCAGATAGAAGAACGATATTACCCTGATTTGCTGAAGAAGAGCTTTATGGATCCACGTAGCTTTTATTGGACAAGAGTAGCACAAAGTTACACACTCTATTAGCTTAATATTTGACTGTATAGGATTTATGTAATCAGAAATAAAAATAAAAAAAAACAGAAAAGAATAAAAGGAATAGTTTTACTGGCGTGGATTTTCACTCATTTCCTTGACTGTTAAAATGCCACAGAGTCTCCTGGTTTGAATGTAAAGTTGCACAGCTTGCGCCTATTCTGTTAAATGTAAAAACCTGTGAGGACTCTTTCTTGTAACCAGCCTTGTGATCGACAGCAAAACACACGCACGCTCCTCTTGTCAGCCGGCCGTCAACCAGCGGCCCTTCAACCACTGTTGACCCCTTGCCAGACCTGGATGAAATTATACCCGAAAGCATCGCTTCCAAAGCAGTTCAAACCTTTGGAGTCATTTTCTTTCAGATACATTTCACCACGTCTGCTACTTTAGTCAAGGTTGTTTTGAGCCAGTCAGGCTGAATTGATTTGTTGTTGTTGTTGTTGTTTACCATATCGGCAGAACAATGTCAGGCACGCCCCTCTGGGCAGCCGACTTGTCTGCCGTGTTGTTATTTTTGTTTGTGTGTGAAAAGTTATTAAAGAAGGCAATAAGTGTCCGGATTGAGTCTCCATTTGTAATTGGCTTGCCATACAGTACAGTGATATAGTAACTTCCCCCAAGGCGGCCGGGAACAACGTCTTTCAAACAAGCTCTCCCTGGCCGCCCCAGGCTAAACCCTCCTCCTCAATAAGTCACAAGTAGAAATCAGTTTACAAATGATAACAATATAGCTCTCTGAAGAAATGTGTCTACACTGTACATCACCCTGAAGAGGAAGCCAAAGCAGAATCAGTTTTTCCATAGGAAACCTCTACTGAAGGCAAATGAATCGTGACGCCAAGGGGGTCAGCATCAAGATCAACGTAGGGGCCCTGGAATCAAAACCCTCTTTTTTTTTTTTTAGGTTTTTTTTTTTTATAATTTTTGTTTTCTTTTAAGACCACAAACATACTTTCACTCGGTCCCTGACCAGGAAATAGACCTATCCTGTCAAGACACTGGGCTTCCCAAAGCCATGCAATGGTACGCTCTTGTGCGCTCATATCATGTCATGGCTCCAGAAATGTGTAGATCTAACCCTCGTCAGGTCGTACACCTGCCCCTCGCTAGTTTACAGACCTAGCAGAGTCAGGCAATAGACCTATCCAAGCAAGTAGTCATCAAGTACACTTGCAGCATTCACGCCAGGCCATTTAGCAGCAAATGGAAGAGAAAAAAATGCTTTTCTTTTCTTTTTGTTTTGTTTTTTTTTTTTCTTTTTTGGACAAAGTGCTTTCGGTTTTTTTAAACATATAAGATAGAGTATTCTATACATATATTTAACATTTAGAAGATACATATTAACTTATAGTTTATTTACAAAACTGAATCACTACTAAGAAAATAGCTATGGACGGTAAGGGGAGAGCAAGTCATTAGGCTACAACTAGTCTAAGAATCAAATATGAATCATGGATACTCGTCATTCTAGTTTCAGAAAAAGCACCATTTCTCCCTTTTTAGACGGAACGGAAAACGGTAAAAAATATATACGTGTGTGTAGCACTAGCTGTTATTCAGTCACACAACACAAACTTTATCATCAGCAGACTCACGTCACGCCAGTCTGAATTCAGCTTTGTCAAATTCACATTTTTCTCGTTTTAATATGACCTCCAAATAAATCAATTCAGCTTGAATTGTGAAACATTCCCAGAATAGGTAGCATCTCCTTAAAGGACTTTACCATAACTGGTAACCAAAGTTATTCTTTATGTCTGTGACCAGTCAGGAAGGATATGACTAATGGAGATTCAATTCAGCAAAGCAAGGCCAGAGGCAGCAAGGACCATCTCAGGAAAATACACAATTCAAGCAGCTTCATGCTTCAAGACAGAATACAACAACATGCAAAAGTCTGGGCAAGTTTTACTCTGTATAGCGGACTAATATGAAAAGGCATAAAGTTAAAGATGGAATGATTATCTTTTTATTTTCCTTTTTATATCAAAATGACACCAAAAGGTGAAGCTGACCAGTATTGTAGCCTGATAAGTGTATTTTCTTTCTTATTAGGGCTGAATTTCCTCAGCAAAAAAGGCGACCACATAAATCTACTTCAGCTTAGTGGGTGGCAGTAATGATGCTGCTTGGAGTAAAAATGAGTGTCAACCAGATTTTTTTTAATTGTTGTTACACTGATTCCGAGTATTATATGTAGATTATTAATTTGCATGATTGTAGCAATGTTTCATTTTTAAAGCTTAGAGTTCTTTACATTGCTCGTCTTTTTTTTTGTTTGCTTAGATCAGTTAGATCATCTGCGCCGAGACTTTTGCACGCTGCTGTATGCATGAAAATCTAAACGACAGCGCTGAATCCAGATCAGCCACACTCAGATGGCTCTGGCTTTCTTACACCATCTGACGCAACACTGTATCTCGCTCCTTATCTGCCCTCACGCTAGAACCGCCAACAGTGGCACTTCAACGTTCCCCCTCACAGACCACTCAAAGTAGACCAGCACTTCGCGGCATTGTGTTTTATATAAATCCTGTCTTGATTCTCTGTATTTCAAATCAGCCAGCTAAGAATAACAGAAAGGGTGGAGCTTATAGATCAAACCATCAGCCAAACACCTCCACCTCTGACCAACAAACACTCCCAAATCAACAGGAAATCTAGCAGGCAGCTAAAATACAAAAATATAACAAGAGCATGTTTTTTTGGTTTTTGTGTTGGGTTTTTTGTTGTACTCTAACTTTCTCAAAGCAAGGATAGGCTTTAGAAATGTGTCATGCTTAAAAATGAATCAATTGTCATGAAAAGTGGCGTTTCACCATTCATAGATATATCATTAATGTTTCTATGTACAATATTCAGTTAATATATTTGTCTATAGACCTCATCTACATACAGAAATCAAACAAGTGATACAGGAACACAAGATTTTGGTTACTGTTTGAGAAATTTTAACAAGCTAAAAAAAAGAAGAAGAAGAAGAAGAAAAGAAAATTGTAACATAGCTTATCTAGTAGCACTCTTGGTATTCATCCTAGCTAGCGCCATTAACACAATGAGCAGGTGGAGGGAGGAATCAGTTCAGGAATGAAGGGCTTCCTTAAGCAATAAATCTACTGGAGAAGCCAACAGAGGGGTTCAATTTTAGATTCAAAAAAATAATAATAATAATAATAATAATAAGAAGAAGAAGAAGCAAATGAATGTTCCTTTTCTGTACAGAATTGGACCCAAGCTAATTTCACAGTTCTATGAAGTCCCTGACCCTCCCACAAATCTTACATTCAATACGGCGTCAGGTAAGCTGTGCAAAACCTTACTTTAACTGGCTGGTCGCCATTTCGTTGCATGTGTCTTTGGTACAAAACATAATCAAAAGATAGTGTGCAAATATTTTTTTGTAACTCTAAAAGAAAAATATCTGTCATCCTTAAACCCCCCCAAAATCCCCAAAAACGTAAGTACCAAAAACCAAAAGTAATCTATTGCAGAGCCCTCCTATATACACAGACTCTGTGGCATCACGCGACAAGAGCTTCCATTTGTTTATGTACATTCAGAATATCTTCGAAACAGCTGAAAGACACAACAAACCCCACCAGCGTGTCCCTCATCGCACTCGCTATAAGTAGTCCTTTCCTAGGCTGGGAGTTCTGGCCGATCACCTCTCCTCGTTCAGCCCCGCTCACACTCACTCATTCTTACGGAGACACGCGCACACACACACACACACATACATACACAAGGCACAATGAATAGAACTCTGATCAAACACTAGTATGAACACACCAAACTGCCTGGTCGTCTCTACTGTACAAAAAAGGGAAGCCGGTGCCGTTCGCTGGGAGACACAGTTATTTACAGTTTCCTGGAGGAGATGGATCACTGTTTATGTCATCTCTATCGTCGCCAACAGCCCCACCATCATCATCTTCCTCACTTTCTGTCTGATCCCACACTGGTCTGTTCCACGCAGTCCAGTTATAACCAGCACAAGGCCAAAAAGCACCATGCTACATGCGCTTCCTCTTCACATGGTCAACTATGAGCCATTAAGCTTCCTCCTGCCTGACACGAGCTTCAAACCAGCAGGACGCCTCTCGCTTAATAAAAGCTCTAATAACTTTCAGCTTCATTGTTTCGCAGGGATGGCATGAACATATTTAGGCCTTCAATACAAAATATTTCTTGCCACCCCGTAACGCCTCGGAACAAGCCGCTTTTTTCCACTGCAGCTTACAAGGCCATTTTCATCAAGGTGCTTTACTCGATTGGGTTCATTTGACAACCTCAAGTCCACTTTTGTTGCCCTGTGAGGTGAAAGTCTTCTGAGAAATGATAACTGGAACTTTTTTCATGTAAATTCGTCCTTTGTCACTACAACCTCAAACAAACGTGTGAAAGTATTCCAGTGGTTACGCTCATGCGGCTGTTTGTCTCAGCCTCCATCAGAAACAACCCTACACAATGCTATGTTAAACACATCTAATCATCGCCAGTGGATTTAGGACGTGCTATTAGCTATACACCTAACCATCACTTGCTTTTAGAGGCGCTTTCCCCCCACCAACGGACGTTCACAATGAGTTGGGAGAACTGTGATGTGCTGACTCCGCACGCAGTGCGCAGAGCCAGAAAGCTAGGGTGTATGCCATACAGGTGACATGGCAAAAACAAGCACACATACCTACACACAGGAAGTGGTATGTGTGTTTGTGTGACTAACAATGTGCATGAAAGTCTGGGTTGTAGGGGCATGCAGAGGGGAGCATAGTTACAACAGGACAGCACGATCGTAATACTGAGTCCACTGCTCTCAGTGGAAGGCGGCCTGTCTAGATTTTGGAGGTGGGGACTCGCAGGCCGACCAGTCCGCCGGTGGGATCGCCGCGTCCTGTGTTCTCTAAGATTTTGTTGACAAAGTCTGAAGTCTGCCCAGCAACAGGTGATGGCACTGCACACACAGATACAAAGATACATTAGAACATGTTTATACTAAAAGTAAAGTTAACTTTACTTTCAATTGAACTAAAATACGTCTACTATATCGATCAATTTCACTGCCTACCTGAGCCATTAAAGCTGCTATCATTAGGATTATTAATTTATTATCATTTATTGATTTTATTTTTTAAGGCATTTTTATTACTCTTTTATTTAATTGGAGGACTGTTTATGTTTGTCTGTATACACCAAGCTCAGCAGTGCTTCCAATTTTGCTGTATGCTTGTACTCAGCTTATCTTATTGTGAAGGTTATACCTGACTGAATATGGTGATAAATATAATCAATGCATCTGCCTATTTATTGTGGTTATTATATCACTTTGATCCATCATTGATTACATCAAAATTTCATTATCAAATATATTTGATAGTTTTGCAATGAATTTAATTCTGATGGTCTTTAAAATGTTTTTTTAAGTTATTCTTAGTCATCGTTCACAGTCACCGTAAACTACAGTATCTCATTGATTGGTGGCCAGTCAACTGTAAAAAGCCCATATTATGCTAACTTAGAGGTCCACGATTTCATTTGGCGTCCGGCATTTTAGGTTTTACATGGTTTAATGTTCAAAAAACATTCGTTTTTCTAACCTTGAAAATCGCTGTAGCTGTACTACAAGTTAAAAATGTGTCTTTAACTCTTTACGCCTTGAGAGCTTCCTAGCAGTAACCCTTGTTTCTCTTTTCTCACTTGAAAGGTTTCTGTTATATTTCAGGCCTCCTTACAGAACAAAATGACTCTGCCTCGGCAGCTACTCTTGTAAAACACCAGAAACTATTCTAATTGTCATCAAACCACGTCTTTATTAATACATACTGAGGTGTAAAACATGTTATTAAGAGGAGGTTATGATATGTTGTCTTTATGGGGTAAAGAGTTAAGTCTCCACATGCTAATAAAACCCAGCCTGATCAGATTGGTCAGCTAGCCCAGCAAAAGAGGCAAGAGAGAGTGTCGGTTACTAACTGTAACCAGAGACAAAGAGTCCTGAATAGAAATATTCGGCCGCTCAAGATCCGTCCTGCTCCTGCACTGTCCCCAACTCAAAAAACAAAAAGATTTTATCTTTGTGTTGTTGATGATGTCTGGTGACCGTTTCGTTTTTGTGCAGTCATTATGATAGCAAAGATGTAGCTTAGTGCAGTGCTTGCATTTGGACAGTATCTCACAAACGTGAGTACACCCCTCACATTTTTGTAAATATTTTGTCAAATCTTTTAATGGGACAACATTGAAGATACTAGTCAGTGTGCGGCTTGAACAAAAGTGTAAATTTGCTGTCACCTCTAAATAACTCACACACAGCCATTATTGCCTAAACTGCTGGCAACAAAAGTGAGTACACCCCTAAGTGAAAATGTCCAAATTGTGCCCAATTTGCCATTTCCCTTCCTGGTGTCATGTGAGATGTTACTTTTACAAGGTCTCAGGTTCAAATGGGGAACAGGTGTGTTGAATTGTTCTCGCACTCTCTCGTACTGGTCACTGGAAGTTTAACATGGCACATCATGACAAAGAATTCTCTGAGGATCTGAAAAAAAGAATTGTTACTCTTCATAAAGACGGCCTAGCTATAAGAATATTGCCAACACCCTGAAACTGAGCTGCAGCACGGTGGCCAAGACCATGCAGCAGTTTCACAGGAGAGGTTCCACTCAGAACAAACCTCGCCATGGTTGACCAAAGAACTTGAGTGCACGTGCTCGTGTCATATCCAGAGGCTGTCATTTGAAAATAGATGTGTGAAAGTTGCCAGCATTGCTGCAGAGGTGCATCAAATGGCTATCATTCCAGAAGGAAGCTTCTTCTAAAGATAATGCACAAGAAAGTCTCCAAACAGTTTGCTGAAGACAAGCAGACTAAGGGGGGGATTACCTGTGGTCTGATGAGACCAAGCTAAACTTATTTGTTTCAGATGATGTCAGTGGTGTGTGGCGGAAACCAGGTGAGGAGTACAAAGACAAGTGTGTCTTGCCTTGCATGATGGTGGTACGTCACTATTTGGGGCTGCATGAGTGCTTCTGGCACAAGGAAACTACAGTTAATTGAGGGAACCATGAATTCCAGCATGTACTGTGACATACTCAAGAAGAGCATGATCCCCTCCCTTCAGAAACTGGGCCACAGGAAAGTATTCCAACAAGATAACAACCCCAAACACACCTCCAAAAAGATCAGTGCCTTGATAAATAAACTGAGGGTAAAGGTACTTGACTGGCCAAGCATGTCATCAGACTTAAACCCTATTGAGCATCTGTGGGGCATCCTCAAATGGAAGGTGGAGGAGCAAAAGGTCTCTAACATCCACCAGCTCCATGATGTCATTATGGAGGAGTGGAAGAGGATCCCAGTGGCACCCTGTGAAGCTCTATAGTGTTGGAAAATAATGATGTTCACACAAAATATTGGCATTTTGGGAACAGTTTGGACATTTTCACTTAGGGGTATACTCACTTTTGTTGCCAGCGGTTTAGACATAAATTGCTGTATGCTGAGTTATTTAGAGGTGACAGCAAATTTACACTGTTACACAAGCTGTACACTGACTACTTTACATTGTATCAAAGTGTCATATCTTCAATGTTGTCCCATGAAAAGAAACAATAAAATATTTACAAAAATGTGAGGGGTGTACTCACACTTTTGTGAGACACTGTATGTGTTCAGATGCTGTCTAAATGTTACTTTCAGCCAGGGATCTTTTCCGTCACGACTGTGAGCGAGGTGTTTCAAGCAATTGAGGCACACTGAAGATAAAAACTCCTGTTGACATGGATTTTGGGCTTTGTGAATATGCAGAACATCTGCATGTATAAAGAAAAAGCTTCAACACTAAAATAAAGTGATAAAACCCCAGAAAGCATAATACGGGCTTAACTTGTGTTTCTTTTCGATTCTCACCAAGTGTCTCCTTTATGAGTCTCTCCAGAGTGTCAGACATGTTGGTTGGACGCGGAGAAGAGTCCTCCACTCGCTCCACTATCTCCTCTTTGATGGCGTTGATCACAAACAACAGCCGGTCTGCAGGAAAACACAAGTTTGACCACAGATTATTCACAAAAAAGTCTGTGCTTTTGTCTTCTGGTTAGACACTGTAACAATTCTTTTTAAAATTGGTGACAAGTATGAGCAGTTATTTCGTTATTCTTATCAATCACGATCTTATTTCTAATCTGACAAAGAAAAGAAAAAAAAGTAAAATGTCATAACAGTCACTGTCATCATCGTCTATTAAGTTGCCGTTGAGCTGCCAACAGTGCAAGAAAAAAATACATGCAGATGTTGTTTCTAGTAAAGATTTAGATCACGTAGCGTCAGAGCCAACGTACCGTACTCTGTGCTGAGTCCCCAGAGCTTCACTTTATTTGCTTCGTATTGGGCTTTCTTTTTTAAACGGCAAGCTCTGCAACACACAGACAGAAAGAAGAGTTTCTAATCAATAGGAGGAAAGAGGATCTCACTGAGAAACAGAGGTTATTCTCAAATCAGCCATCTTTATTACAATCAGGCTCGAGAGGGTAAAACTTTTTGAAAATAATACTGTTGCAGTCATCACGACTTTACATATGGCTGTTCTCCAGCTGTCATGTGTACACAGCGAACACATGAATGCGTGGTTTACCTGGAGGCCAGCTTGTTTTTCTCCTTGCGAGAGCGTGGCCGTGCAGTCAGTGGTAGCTCGCTCACAGGAGTCAAGTCGCTGATCACCTTGTTCAGTTTACGAAGCTCTGTGCCGATCTGCAGCAGCTTGCGTGGATTGGGAGTCAGGTCTTCCACATCTGTGCGGCGAGACTTCTTCAGCATGTATTTTCCTTTGTAGAGATCATCAAAACAAAGGAGTTAGACATCAATCGCATTTTAAATGTTTCAGTTCTCGAAACATGAACAAACACTAGTTGTGCACATGGTACTGCAAGTGTACCTCTGTTTTTTTAAATTGCTTGATCTGGTTTTAAATAGGGCTGTTCGATATAACGATATATATCGGATGACGATATAAAAACGTCTATCGTTTCATTTTACGCTATCGTTTGTTTTGTGGTGTCGTAAAATAAACTGTTTACGGCAATATTTTTTCATGGTTTTGATGGTCACTGTAGTGGCTATATTAATTTCTTAAAGTTCTCTCTTTCTCTTATATTTAATATGACCACACTACGGACAGACAAGCGCCTGTTTTTATACGTTGTCGTTTGCAACAACGACGGTAAAACCATCGCGTGTCCGCTTGTTTATTTTCTACATATACCTTTCACAATAAAGCTCAAGATCCTGTTGAGACTTTTCAAAATAAACTGAATCACGCGAAATAGTATGCAGAGTATTTACGGATGAGAAGCAAAAAAGAGCCGTCAGGTGCTAAAAAATAAACCTTAGAGTCAAACGTTAGAACAGGCTTTTCCCCGCAGCACGCCGTGTAATAAATACTCACAAAGAGAACGGTAAATTCACAGAATTTACAGAAAATGTTAAATTTTTGTGATTTATATCGTTATCGGGACGATAGATGTCTTATATCGGGATATGAGATTTTGGTCATATAGCACGGCCCTAGTTTTAAATAAAGATTTTCTACGCACCAACAGCTGGTAACCTGCAGTGGGTCTGACAGGTGTGGGGATGCATTAATAACCTAATTATTAATCATCAAACAGCAACTTTTTGACCATGACCATAACTTTTAAAAGCCTGAAACTATGATGATCAAAATCCAACATGAATCATTTTATTCAACTTAAAGAACTCCCTTTACAACACTGAATAAATAAGAATATGGATACAAGACAAATAGTTTGCTGCATTTTTTTTTTTAAATAGAGGAGTCCTTTAATGTGTGAAATAAAATATACATCTTTTATTTATTTAATAACTCCAATGTGATTACTCAAACTGTAGCATGACTGCAACATGCTGTGCACAGCTGCTGCTGTGGAAAATCCAACCGATCCAACCAGCCTGTCTCTGATCACTCTGCATTATCCACTAAAAGCCGTATACGATCATTTTTACGTCGATATTGGGCATGTAAAATAAAATGTCGGAAACACTTAAATGCAAAAGATTATTTAATTCCATATAAAACTGAAACTCAAAGCGAGACTTTAATAATGGCTGCATGCACATATAGTTGTGCATGTGTGTGTGTACCGTGGAGAGGCCCGTTCTTCTGGTACAGGTTGCTAGGCAGCGTGTGTCTGTCCCACTCGGACGGCTTGAGCATGCGTTCCTGTTTGGAGGGGGTGAGCTGCTCGCTGTACTCCCAGAAGTAGCGGCGCTTTCCTCTCTTTCGGCTGGAGACTCCTGCTGTGAGCCCTTTAATGTCCTCCATCAGCTCCATGTCACAGCCTGACGGAGGCAGAAGAGAGAGACACAGAAGGAAGGGGAGGAAATTAATGCAACAGAGACAAACAGAGACAAAGAAAAGGATGGAGTATTCAGTATTGTGGTGACACCAAATACCAAGTGACACAATACTGCAATCATCTGCTTGTAATGTAGCAATGTATCATATTATTTTTATACGTTCAATGAGATTATAGTTACTGAAAATGTAACCACACGTGCCTTTTCACATGTCCAAATTACTTGACCTCACTGTTTTGCTTTTTGCTTTTTGTTATGGGTATTTGTTGTGGATTTATATTTTATGTTGTACGTGTAGAATTTTTTTAATGTTTTGGGTTGTACAGCTCCTATCTTGGTCAGGTCTCTCTTTTAAAAGAAATTGTAATCTCAATCAGACAACCTGGTAAAATAAAGGTAATAATAATCACTTTAACTATTTTAAATTCAAGATTTATTTTGAAGCATCGTTAACATATTACTTGTTGACAACCTGACATTTTTATGGAGAGTAGCTACCTGGCTCAGAGAAGGCGTCACTCATGTCATCGTCCTTGTCTGCTTCGTAGTCTTCGTCCTCCTCCTCTTCTTCCTCCTCTTCATTCTCAGACAGCTCATGCTCACTGCCAAAACCCTCATCGTGGTCTTCATCTTCTAGCTCCAACCCATCTCCTTCCTCTTCCTCTGCCTCTTCCTCATCCTCCTCGTCCTCCTCATCCTCTTCCTCTGTCTGGGGGTGGCCTCTGCTGCCCAGTCTGCTGCGGGTCATGAAGAGAGAGTAGTTGTGCTCCTCTTCCTTGGTCTTCTCCGTACCCTCAACAACCAAAAGACTGCCAGCCCCGCTGCAAACACCATCGCTGATCACCAGCCCAGAGGTGCTGGTCTCCAGAGCCTGGCTCGCCTCAACCAGCTGAGGCACAGTGGCAGACCGGCCTACAGGCATCTCTCTCCTCGCTGTCCCCTCTACTCTCCTTTCAAAGCTCGCCAGGCTGCCCGAACAGCTGGCGGCGGCAGCACCAGGTAGTCCCACTAAGGCGGCACTTGCTGAAGTAGAGGCTTTCTCGTCTCGAGGCTGGGAGAGAGGTAGAATGGGATCTGACCTCTCAAAATCCGTCTGGGGAGGCATATCCGCTTGGGTCTTATGTACAGCACTGACACGGACTTTAGCCTTGCGTACAAAGTCAGAGCTGTAGGAAGTTGGGGCTCCCATTTTGGTTCCACGCACCATGGGCTTTATTTGAGCATGACCATGGTCCTGGGTGAGACTGAGGTGGCTCTGAGTCTTAGCCATAGTCTCAGTGCTGGAAGGAACAGGTCTGGTTGCTCTTTGGGAGCCTTCAGGAAAGTCCGGGAGAAGGCTGCGCGAAGGACGGGAAGAGGATGTGGAGCTCGGTGAAGGTTGAACAGAGCCAGGGCCTGATCCTTGGCCGGGGACCAGGAGAGTCTTACTGTGACAGGGAAGCTGGGACGACTGAGTCTGGGGCAAGCTCAGGTCAGCGGGAGGGTAGAGCGTCTCACCCACAGGCTGTGAGTCCTCGCTGTTGAGCTGAGCCAGCGTCGGAGTTCGACCAATCACCTCCTCGTCCTGGTAAGGACTGGAGAAGTCATCCAATCCCAGGAAGTCCACCTCTTTGGTGCCCCAGATATCACAGCTGGCCAGCCGTGTGTATCTGTGAAATACAGAGAGACACAGACTAGCAACAGTGGAAACTTTCGCCTTCTTGTCATAGTATCTTCATTACATCTTTGCATTGCAGCTGTTTCCTATTTTTGTCTACATTTGAATAACCTAAGCTTGTTAAATCTTTAGAATACTAGCTTGTTGGTGCATATTTTTACCATGCAAATGACCCTGCAAACACAATAATCAGCCGATCAACATGATCATCAGAGAAAAACTAGAATTTACAAGTTATTATTCATGAAAAACGACTAAAACATTATTTCAGCATGCTAAACATTCATGCTCTGCTGTTATATATGAAACTTGAAGATGAGTAACTGACTGAAGGGAAATATTGGAAATGTTCAGCAAAACCAGTAATGTTTCATATTCAATGTAATGTAATGTATTCATTTACTGCAACTTGCAGTGAAAACCTGTTTTCCCCACAGAGGGGATGCTAAATGTGGAAGTGCACTTGTCTCTACTTAGAACTGCAATGGCAGCCTGTCACATGACGGCAATGGTCCAGTCATATAGCAGTTAAACGCACAGCACAGCACAGCACAGCGTGACTCTTCCACTTTCACTTTTATCTTTGCAGAGCTTGAGACAAATGCATTTTTCCAAGATGGAACATTTCAGAGAAAATCTGTAACTGTTCAACTTTCTTTTTCAACTTTACTTTTAACTTAGTTTAAAGTTTGTAACTTCAGTGAGAAACCAGTGATAACAGTGAAGCCTCTTCATGCCACAAGATATAAACAGGAAGCTCTGAGGCTCTCTCAGCACTCTCAGTGCGGTGAAGAAAACTATAGTTTGGTAAGACCAGCAAGCACCAAACGTTATTTTGGTGCACCAGAGCACAACAATATAACAAAATTAATCTGAAGTTGCCGAAACACACATTCTTAGTCAAAGCTGGAAAGTATGGTTTGCACATTAGTAAAAAAAGGTACAACAGTTTCCTCTGTTCCACTTCAGCACAACCCAAACCTAAGTCTGTATGCAGCAGATTTTTCAAACCCTGCAACAACCAGCACTATTCCACCCCAGTTTTAATGGACTTTGTTTTTCAGAGACAGTAGTCTGCCCTCAGTTTGCACTCAACATTGGGGAGGGGAGTACACAAGCTACTCTGGCAGCAAAACATCAGGGTAGCTGCAGGACAGACGGAGCATCACCTGAGACCCCAGGAGACTGCGGCAGACAGCTACTTTGTTGTTTACAGGCCTCTTAAACCACTTCCTGCCTCCCGGCTAACCTACTATCTGCTTCAAATCCTCATCTGCTGCGTCTATTTGATACCAAAAGGACAGGCCTTCACAATTACTGTTCTACTTCTGTACAAACCTTCAAAGCCTTCTGACCTTTCTCATGAGGCTCATTGAAAGACGTCACAACAGATTTAACTAAAACCAGATTTAACTAAAATCAGTCGTATCATCAATCGCAAGCTTATAAAAAGCAGGGGCCCACTACAGCCTCCTCATACTACAGACCTGGCGTGACCACAGTAAGATGAAGGTGAAATATCTAAATAATAGTTTAAAAATACAGCATAACTGTGAGTTTCATATTTTAAATGTTAGTTTAAAAAATGCAGGAAGCCTACCTATCTTAATGGCAGCAAATTACATGAAAAATAAACCAGATCAACAACATGTTAATGCATCTCATAATAGTTCAACACTTTCTGCTCCGTCAGCTAACCCACGGGTTCAAAGCAAAGACAGAAAAATTTAAAATTACATAATTTATAAGAAACTATCACACACACAAAAACCCACAAAGTCAACTTTACGGGACTTTGTTGATCAAACACTGGATGTGTTTGTGTACGATTTCAATATTCACATGTAATATGTGACCTATGCATTTTCAACTGTTGCTAAGGGCTTCTTGTTTTCGCTTCTTTCTTAGAGTCAGTGATTTGCTCCATTTTTCTGCTGCTTTTAAGCCTGGCTTTGTATGCTCTGTATTGGATTGTGTAAAGCACTTTGTGACTCTTTGAAAAGCACTATATAAAGTATCTGCTAGTTATTCATCTACAAACCAAGCTAGCTTTACAGAGTTTAAGAGGTCAAAGTTTTATGTGTCAGTTACTTGTTGTTGTTGTTTAACATGGCCTAAAAAAAATTTAAAAAAAAAGCTGCAACACATGAATAAATAATAAGTACCTGGTGAGGTCTTCCCAGTAGGAGTCCCACTGTTCGAACGCCGAGCTGCTGCAGACTGTCTCACATTCACCCAGACCCATTAGCTGGTCCACGCAACCCTCAACCTCCTTGCCTCCATCCCCGACCCCCACAATGCTGTCCCCACAGGGGCTCTGCTGGTGGCTCATGTCTCTGTCCTGAAGAGAGCAGCAAATTAAAGAATTACCTCCATGCAGCTGTTATAGGATAGGATGATCTGTAAAGTTAGAGTGCGTGTCCTTGTCCCAGACACAAAGGATCATGGTAAATGGACTGGTCCTACTCTAATCAAAGTGCTTCATACAACATACCTTATTCATATGAGCACCTTTTTCTACCTAAATGCTTTTCCAACAGTCATGCATTTACACTCCAGTGAAAGCATCGGAGAACAAATTGAGGTTCAGTATCTTGCCTAAGGATACTTTGGCATGCAGACTGGAGCAGCCAGAGATCAAACCACCAACCACCTTCCTCCTAAACTTCAGCCATGCAGTGTCATCATTTCACTATCTAACTGAATGTGAAATATTCCCACAATCTCCTCTTCTGTTACTGAGTCAAGGGCACTGACTAGTGAAGATTTCACATTGAAGTCATGCTGACCTATTGGACATGAAGTGCCACCGTTTCATTTTATCTGATGATTAGACCTTGTGTGAGATTTTGTAACAATTAAATGCTTAGTTGAGTTTAAAAAAAATACCTTTAAAGTCCTCCAAAGTGTTTAAAGAGACAGAGAGCTGATCAAGGCAGGTGGTAGGGTAGGTGATGTTGTATGAAATTCTACTTAGCTTAGACTTCATTATTGAATGATTTAGTTAACTTTTATAAAAGACATTTATGATAACAAGCCACCACATAATGCCAGCAACCAGGTGTTTGACTGTCTGGAAATTCACTACACAGCGGTCCCAAACAGCAAAAGCCATAAAGAACCTGCATGAAAGGACCAAGATCAGGGAGCCCTGCAACAGATGGTACAACCCCCACAGAGCTCTGATGTCAACATTGTGAAATCAGTCTAAGATTGCATAAAAGGGCAGAAGATGCTGACGTAGCCTAAGATAGGATTTCCAATATGCTTGTTAAAGAAAAGAAGAAAAAACACCCCACTGTGCTAAATAGCTTAGAAAACTCTGCACCCTGACTAACTAGTGCTGCTTTAATAATAAATGGGTGTCACACCAAATGATAAATAAACTAACTAAAGGAGATGGCAGGTCATCCTGCACACCATCATCTCATTAATGTGTTACTATGGTGAAAGAAATTGAGAGTGAGGCAGTCAATCACTATTGTTTAGTCTACAGAGGACAGTAAATTAAGGCAGACACCTGCAGCTGACAACATGAGCGGTGCTTCATATCACCTGCCTGAGAGCCTGGCAAATGTCAGACAGTTTCTAAACAATTAGACACGAGTCTCTGCTTCGATAAATGCCAGTCTGGAAGTTAAGCTGAGTCCACGGCAGCATTCATTAAACGTTTCTATAAACCTCAGGATTTCTCACCATTACTGAAATAATCCCTGTAAATGGTGAGGAATCACATCCGACCTCAATATTTTCAATTGTGAATCCTGGCGAAGAAGTCCTTTTGCCATTGCAGCAGATGGTTTGACAGGTATTATCTATCACATGAATGATAGCTTCATTCTACGGAAGCATCCCAGAAAACCACAGTGCCTTCTGTTTCATCCCAAATGATATCCTGCCTGTTTTTCTGTTTGCAATTAATAACTAGCCGTAACTAACCAACTGCGAGGCTGATAATTTGTGTGAGAATCATCACAGGAAATGACTTTGGCTTGTTTATATGTGTTATGTTAAAAGCCTAGGGACATATTAGTTCACCACAGTAACACTGTTGTGCCACTGCACTCTTGTCAAAGACAACTCGGACTGAAAAATGAATTAATCGATTTATACCCACCAACTTCAGATCAGCAAAGTCCCTACATGACAGTCCCTGATTCAGTTTGGCTTGACTGTTCCAGTGATTTCTATTTAGACGTCGCACACAGATTTAACAAATTGTCAAACAAGTTGCACAATTTGAAATGTGCAACTTGAGATGACCAGCGAAGCAAAGATGATGAATTGAGAAATTAAACTGATGAAATAACTTTGGTTTCTAAGGTTTCTTGAAGTCAATGTTAGGTTAGAAAAAGAAGAATTGGAACGTTTATAATATGGTTTCCTTTAATCAGAACAAAGATACTGGATTTCATGCAGTTTTCCTGCTCTGTGGCCCCTTAGACAGTGTGCTGTGTAACCTTATATTGATCTTTGATATTTGTGGGGGTGCTTGGGCCAAGCTGACCCTTGAGCAGCTGTGTCTGATCAAGCCCCGCTGGCAGAGACTGGGTCTCCACTGGCGAATCTATAAATGTGGCTTAGCACAATCAAAACCTTTTTAGTTTACAGCCCAGCTACTTGAGTATGTATATGTTTAGAATAATCTTGGTGACTTTCAGTGTTTATATATATATTTGTCAAAAAAAAATCAAAGTCTTTTAGAGCAACAGTAGCACTTAACAAGAATCAATATAACTGTATATACACACATTCACTGCCGTAAAATAACTTCTTATTTGAGAAAGCTGTTGTGACTGTGATGGGGGACGATATTGAGTTGCTGCTGTTGACCTTTAAACTCGGATCCTTCATTTGGATGCAACTCAGTGTCAGCTCAGCATGAGCAGCTGTGACTGATGCGAAAAGAAGCCGGATTCAAAGCATGGTTACCAAGGTCTTACGTCTTTGTGTGTGTCTACTCACCAGTTCGTACATGAAATCTGGGTCAGAGCTGGTGGCGAGCAGCTCAGTGCTGGTCAGAGCCTGGTCAGCAATCGAGTAGTTCTGAAAGGCATCCCCAAAGGGAGGCTCCATCCCACTGACGCTGGGCTGCAACAAACACGGGGAAAAAAAACAAAACACTTGATTAAACAATAATGCACATCAACACAATTAAAATCTGATAAACTCAGTTCAACCTTTGTCTTCCTTTTAATGTTGCTCAGTTTTTAAAAGATTATTGTTTAAAAGAATATTGTTCTGTAACGTTTGTTGTCATATTATACGATGTGGGTTTTTTTTTTAAATCATTATTATCTGACAGACACTTCAGAAGTCATATTAATAACTACATGTCCTCATCAGTGCCCCTCATATGTGGGGTCCCTCAGGGCTCAATCCTTGGTCCAGTTCTCCTTTCTTTATGTTACTCTTTTCAAAGGTATCTCCTAAGATTGTTGTGCAGTTGGGCTGCCACAAACGATTATTTTGGTAGTTGACCAGTCACCGATTATTTTTGTCGATTAGTTGACTAATCACATCATGCATCCATTGAACGTAAAACGTACAACATATTGCACCAGCATGCATCTGCTCTTATATAACTAGCTGCTGAGACCTTATTCCTCTCCGATAGTCTGATCAGTGTCTCTTAACTATTTCATCCTCTTATGTTAAAATTTAGAGGTGACCGCACTTTTGAGGTTAAAGCTCCTAAACTGTGGAACAGCCTTCTTCAGCCTGTCGGCTCTGTGACTGTGGGTTGTTTTGACCGACTGATGAAAACTCATTTTTAAAGGACCTTCGCCCATATATTTCTCGTTCTTTCAACATGTGCATGCAGGAAAGAATGTAAGACAATATGGTTGAACATGTATACTTGACTTTAGTGTGTGGTTTTATCTAAAGTGTGAAGCACTTTGTAACTGTGCTATAGAAGTGCTATAAAACTAAAGTTATTACCATTATTTTTACATTTTGTGTGCCATACTTTCAATTCTGCCAGGAATTATTATAAGCTAGACGGAGGAAGCTACAGGTGTTTTCTGTGTGTATTTTTGTGTCATTATGATCAATGTTTGTACAACAGCTGAGTGGACACACAAATCCGACTTGAGTGCAGTTATTTGAATTATGTAAGTTCACAGTTTAGCTGACTTCAATTTCTAAAGATAGATGAAGCTATCATTTGCTGCACACAGACCGGTTTACCAGCGGGACTGTTTTGGGACTTGGAATATGTGCAGAATGCGGTTTGACATTGTCTTATTTGAAAGGGTTTCACAGAAGTGCAAGTTACCAATGCACCTCCCAGATGCATCACATCACAAATGCATTTCACCTGTGCAAAAACAAGCTGGCATTTATCGATGCAGTGTTCACAGTAGAGGTGGGAATCACCATACATCCCACGATACGATATTATCACATTTTTAAAAATATTTTGCGATATTCAGATTCTGTACATAAAGGTAAACTTTATCAATATTCATTTTATCTAATATCAAAGTCTCACACTCAGTCTTTCTCTCATTTCAGTTTTATTGTTGACAAACTGAATGGTTTGTATTACAGTCTAGTCCAACTTAACTGAATGCAACCATCTGGTACAATTATAGCTATTCTGAACTATGCAATTTATAAAAATTACAGTTTTAAACTTAATTAAAATAAAACATGTCTTAAATTAAAATAAGTAAACTGTCATGTTTATTGCTGCCAAAAAAAAGTTAAACACATTTGGACAGTGAAGGAATGTCAGGATTCTTGCTCAGAAAAAGGATCAACATGCTCTGAAGTCAGAGCACAAAAACCTTTTTTGTAACAAAATATCGATTTCTGCTGTCCCTGTATCGATACATTATTAGCAAACAAAATATCACGATACTACACAGTATCGATTTTTTCCCCCACCCCTAGTTCACAGACAGTGGGTTTCAGAAGTGCTCTCGAGCTCACGCTGTGATTTGCACTAAAAAAGTAATGTCTGCCGTTTTGTTTGTTTGTTTGTCCGAAGGCCTGAAGATCATCACCAGTCCATATTGCCTAGATTTCAACATCATCTGTTGAATCTTTTAGGGATATTTTGTACTGTACATGATTACATTATCCAGGTCTTTGCAATGTGACACTAATAAATGCTCAATTGGCCCACGCAGTCTTTCACAGAGTGGTGATCACCTCCTTATCCTTAATTTAAAAAAATACGCTTTTTCTTTTCTTTTTTTCCAAATACCCAATCGTGAGTCTTTTGTTGCCCCCATGTGCTGCCCCTCACAATTAATAGCATAAAAATGTGTTCATACCATTTACTGTTAATTATAAAGTTTTACATGACTGCCAAATCCTTGAATACTCTTTCTGTATATTTTACATAATATCAGCTTTTTGGGATCTTGAATGAGATTTTCTGGAGGCACTCTTTTTTTGTAATGGAGATTATTACTGAGGAGGTTTCTCAGTTTTATACTCGGCGTTCTCATGTTGGCAGACTCTGTAATGAAGCTGCTAATTTGTCAAAGACTGTATATAAAAGACTAAAAGTGAAGCAGGTGCAGCGGTTCCTTGAGCCTGCGTTCTTTCTAATGGCTAGCAGGAGGCCAGAACTGGTTAATGAGAAAACAGCCTCAGGTCTCTCAGCATATAAACTTTAAAAAAAAAAACAAGACTGCGACATGATGCTCATGATGCTTTTGAAAATACCGTCCCATTTTGAATAAAAAAGAAGGCTTAAAGAGGCTATGACTTAAGTGGAGTTACCTTATAAATGGTATGTCATTAACATACAAGCATGCATTGTGAGGGCCAACATGCTCAGTTCAAGCATTTAAGACGAGTCTTGCCTAACCAATGGGAGACATCCTAAGGCTACGTCCATCTTTTATATTGAGTTCATGCTGTTTCTCTACTGCTTAAATAGTCTGACAGACTCTGCATCTCATCATTCCTACATAATATAATCAGTCACAATACAATTATCTGTCATTTCAATCTTCCTATAATCATTAGATGTATTTCAATAAACAATAATACTAAAAACTAAAACAGAAAGCAGTGTGCATTTATGAGAGAGAAAAGAAAAGATAAAGCACTGACTGTGCAGTCATGTCTCATGTCAACAGCAAATAAATAAATAACATTTTTTCTGCATTTAGAGCACACAAAAAAAACACAAAAAACCAACCAAAAACACTGCAGCTATTGTGCCCAAACACGCAACTATGAACTGAGCAAACTTAAGCTGGGCACTGAAGCATAATCAAATACATGAATGGGAGGCTTTTTTTTCCCCATCCGCTCCCTCATACAGACAACTTTTCATATGTGATTTTATTCTGCTCCCCCTCTACTGCCACATTTGACACCAAAACACGACATAACAGACATGAAAAGTGAGAATAATTTAACCATTTAACCACCATAACCATTGGAACATCAGAGGAAGTGTCTGCGTGCACACCGACCTGATTAATAATCAGTATAACCCACAAACATGGCTATTGACAGGTGCATCAGGAAGCAACAGCACCTGCTACCCTGTAATGCTCCCAGACACGCTCCATGACTTTGACAGAGAATAATATATTGTAGTTAAAGGTTATGAGAAAAAAAATCATGTTACATTCAGTATATCAGTGATCTAATATATCAAAATAACGGATAGCTGTCTGATTTTTTCCATCATCATCATCATCAAGAAAAAAAAACTTCCATCAGCAATAGAAAATACTGTAAAAACACTCCTGCAATTTAAAGTAAAACCCATTACTAATATATCTGCAATAAAGTTAACATCTACAGATATTACTCCAGAGCTGCTGTTGTTATTTGTGTTCTAGCGCTGAAGTTAAACACGTGTCTCAGCCCAACAAACCACCAGCATCTCCTGTTCTTCACTCTAACAGCTGAGGGAATTATTTGATAAGATTGCAGCTACAGACGCGCTGCAATCACAACATACTTGCACATTTGCAAGATACCACAAAACCCTAAGAAACAAACAGTCCCTGTGGTATCTAATATGAATAATAAAAAAGGAGAAAAGAACAGCAGGAAAAAAGAAAAGAAGAAAAAAACACTGTCAAGGCTGACACCATCATTTCCGGGAGCTGACTTTGCTATGTTGCTATTAATTCGGCACCGCAGAGAATTACAAAAATGTTAAAGCCTGCTCAGAGTTGGCACTCTGCACTTATTTTTTTAGAAGGACTGAGAAAGTCGCTCACAGTCAGCCCATCTGGCTTCAGCAGCTGTTTGGATGCAGGGTCTACAGACATCATACAGCACTGGGGTCAGTCACTCTCCTCTTTCAAGCCCCTGAACCGTGTTTCACATCTACGATTCTGTCTGTCTGCAGGTGTTTTGCATACTTGCTCACAGGAAGTTTTGTCTCAGGTTTTTGTGGAGAGTTCATTCAGACCATTTAAAAATAAAAAAATAAAGTCACTTTTTGTTCGTGGGTTTATGGGTTAATGGAAAAAAAACAAATCAACAACAGCGACAGCACAATTTCCCCTCCTCCTATCGTACCTCTTACCTGAGGCATTGCCAGGCACAGCTTAGAGCTCCAGTGGTGGGAACCTCTGGGTCTCCTGTCCAGTCCCAGTGGTGTGAGGTTGTCCGATCAGCACAATAAATTACTGCTGAGGGAAACAATCGCAGAGTGCTGGTGGATGCAGGGGAGGGGGAGAGGGAGACTGTGAATAATTGGGCTCAACCTGGTCAGGTCTGGTCTGTTGTGGTCTGGTGCGGTTCTTGGTAAGCTTCAGGTCTGTGGTTAGAAGAACACACAGAGAGCAAGTATTAAAATCAAAAGAGTTGAAAACAAAGAAGTCGATTTTAACCACAGCTGCTGTGTTTGGTTGTTGTTCTCAAACGAAACCGCAGGATGGTAAACTGTGTAATGTTAAAGCAAACGACAAAATAAAGTATACAGAAACAATTCGGTTCTGTTTCATCAAACAACAGCCAAAATATTCAGCAGACTGAAATAACTTTGTGACATAAATGATGCATGATGTAAAATTGATGCAAGCAAGAAAAACACACATGAAATACTAAAAATTGTGTGTAAAGATCAGTCTCTATGACTTGGGACTATAAACGGAGCACCGAAAAGTAGACAGCAACTCTCTACCAAATTTGATCCCTGTCCTCATCAAACATTCGGTAAGCAGCCTCTTTGTCAAACTCAAATGCTGCCAAGCAATCGCTCACAGTTAATCTGATCTGTTCTGAGTCAACCGCGCATCAAGCTTAGCTGCAACCTTTTTAATTACCTCCTTCACCATCATCAAGCTTGGTTCATTCTTTGCTTGTTTGTCATTCGCTCACTTTCTTGCATCACCAAACGACGGCAACATTTAGATTGATCTTTGGTCCTTTTGCTGCTTTTGCATAGCAAACACACGAGAGTCTGCGTGGAGACACGGCCCCAGCAGCAATCTGTCAGCACAATATCACACACGAATCACACTCCTCTCTGAGCAAGATAACAACATCACTTCCTCTTGCAAATGAACTTCTCACCCCTGAGCTATGTATACACACTTTTGCATAGAGACAGGAAGTGGGCAAAAAAAAAAAAAAATACACAGCCGTGCAAATGCATTTGTAAAAGCAACACCTTCACCAACATCAATGCACATGTGAGTAAACAAGTCTCTGCACACACACATGCACGTACACACTAACCACCTTGGTCACCTATAATATATTTGGAAGCTCCTCCTCCTCTGAAATACAAATTCTCTTATTACCATATCATGATGTGCACTTCCTTCCTGGGCAGCTGTGTCTGGTTTCATGTTTAGGAAAAAAAGCAGAGTGATGACATATATGGCCTGAACAATAACAACAACATCAATCCAAACTCGCTGCTATCACAGAGGGGAAACAGAAAGCCCGTGTCCACAACCAGAGGTTCTCAAAAACATGTGGAAAATGAGCCACCGTTATCCAGTCGAAGTAGCACTGAATCTTTTCCAGCAGCACAGTTTAATCCAACTCACTACCCAGTGGGTGACACAGGCTGTGATGCAGAGCCAGATATTTATGACCGACTGTGGCAGGCTGCAAGAACCCAGAAGAAGAATTCCTCTCTCTGTTTGGTCGGACTTCAGAGATAAAAGCGCCTCCATTAGGTGTTGTACTTTAGGACTGAGCTTTGTTTAAGGCCACAGCAACCTCCGCTTATATCAGCATTCTTGTACGAGCTCAATCATTTCTGTTTTTCCTCCAAGGCTGCTTTTGGGAACATTAAAGATTTGCTTTCTTTCTTTTATAAGGCTTGCTATGAAGATAGAAAAAGTCGCTCAACAGGTCAGATTCTTTTGCTGTTTTGCAGCATAATGTTTACATCTCGGTTGAGTCTGAACCCAGGGCCAGCTTTTACCCATCCAGACCAAGTAATAAAACACAGCGCTCACCATCAGTAATGTAAATGACTTCTGATTATGCTGCTAGGATGCACTCTGGCTGCATCATTCTGCTCACACGCTTTACACCATTTTTAACAATATAAATTGTTGTTCTCTATAACAACTCTTGGCAACTAATTTTGGCTTATTTGGTCATAGCGCTATTTCACTGAAAATCTATGGTTTCCTGTCTACAAAATGCTTAAAATAGTTGTCTTTGTTTCTGTGTACAATGAACAAACACTGGGTGATTGATATAAATGTCAACCACCAGAAAAATACCACTGAATGCAACATTTTACAGCTGATATATTAGTATTTATTAAAGCTTGTGAAGTCAACAAAATGCCAAAACAACCTTTTAGCAGGTTGTAATTCAGACGATCTGACTGCACCTGATCTGGGCACAGCTCTGTTTTCAGGCTTCAGAAGAAGACTTTGGCCGTAATTCAGAAAGAGGGCCTTGCATTTGAGTATTTTAAAAATGTATCCCATCAGATGGAGACACTGGCCTGCACCATTTATACACCTGTGGTGCACTGAGTAGCCAGCATATCATTTTAACAATAACACATGTTGAGATGTCTCATCCCATTTAAGCAGCATACAGACCCACCTAGGCCACATGACTGAAGCAAACATAACAAGGTAAGCCTTGCAGTCATAAACTGATCATAACGCTGGTGTATCAGTTTAATACCAGCTGTTATTTATGGGTAATATTTGAGATCCCTGGTATCATTTTTTTAAACCTCTCTCAAAGGTTTCCCCCACATTTAAAACATGTTCTCAAGTTTTAAGCTGCCTTATTTTTAATGTTTATAATGAATGTGTCTCACCTATGTGTGTATATTTATTTTGTGTGCTTTGCTGTGTATCATGTGTGCATTATTAGAGTATGTAGCCACTGCTGATTGACAAGGTCAATCAGCAGTAGCCATCTTGGCCTTGGCGATTTTCAATAATTACACTTGTGGTTAAATGAAGGAAATTTTAAAAAGTAACAACAACACCTGCTCCTCGTTTCTCATCACTGCACTGAATGATTAAAACGATAGCAAATAATGAGCTGATAGCGAAACTGCTGCATTTTCAATACCAAAAACCATTTACTAAAATTAAAAGCAAAACAGAAAGCATCACTATAAGTGTGAGAGTGCAACATGTGTCACTGTGCTGAGACTAAATCTATAGATTTGTGGGAAAGTAGCGTTCAAAAGCGACCATTAACTTTGAAGCTTCAGACATTTATATGTGGAAAAAAGCATTTAAAAAAATCGTATTTTTTAAAACCCAGTGGTGTTTGTTTCCTCTCTTCCCTATTAGTTCAGTGCACTGAGGGTTAAAAAAAGAAAAAAGAAAAAAAAGGGGGAGTTAAGTGTTGAGTTCAAATCATGAGCTGCGCTATCATGCAAACAGCTCTCGTTCTCCACAACACTGGACGTGGTCCAAGTAGGCCAGTCAACAGTGTCTTATTTAGAATGAGTTACCTACTGATAGCAGTCAGCCCATGATCCCTACAGTGATAACAAGCATGAGACAGCAGTCTGTTTCTGAGCACGGACATGTGAGGAAGTCTGCAAATATCAGAAAAGGTCACCAATCCATAAGTCGTATAAGAAAACAAAGTATGAGCGCTCACTGACAGGCAACTGTGCTTAAAGGCTGGAGATTATTTATTTATACATAAGTTTACGACTAAGTGGTACAGGCACAGAGCTGGCACTAGAGCTGGCAATTATTGATTATGTGTCGGCCATTCAGAGGAATCATCTAGTGATAAATGATCACAGTGTTTGTCTTCTGACAGAGAAAAATATTAATAATTTTAAGTTGCTTTTCACATTTAGGTAACTATCTTACACCTTGAGATTTTCCATGTTAAAACATATACCAACATTAGAAAAGCAGCTGTGTTTATTAAGGATGTACCAGCAGATGTTTATCTATTTCTTTCTCTCTGCTCTTATATATCTGGAAATCAGTTTCATGCATTTTTAAGAAACAAAAATGTTCAGTTTTTTTTTTTACAAACTCAATGAAAAACTGTTATTTTGAACTTTAGCATGAGCAAGGATTTGATTTTTAAATCTTGAGACTGATTTCAGTTCACTGAGCAGCTTTTACCACAGCATCCTCCACAGTGAACAGATCTTAACTCTTGTTTTGCTTTTCTGAACTGAGAGGTTTCTATCATATTTCAAGCCTGCTTATAGAACAAAATGACAGGGTTTGCACAAGAAGTTAGTGAGGATGGTCTCTGCCTATGCAGCTAGCCACAGAAAAACCAGAAACAAATCCCATAGGTTTTCAAAGCTGCAAAAAAATGTCGTCTTTATGCGAGAAAGAGCTAACGCAGCAACTTCACATGGGAAGATTCAGACTTTTTTTATTGAATATGTTTATATATTAAGCCAGTATATTAAGCTATAGCTCTTTTGCACACATCTGTTTCAAATCTCCATATTTTGTCTCCTTTTCTGTCTTCAGCTATTTATTTGTACTATTTGTATTTATATGTTCTATTTCTATTGTATATATTAATCGGCATCTGTGGGTGGACAGCAAAGAAAGAATTTCATTGCACAAAGAAATGCCTTTTCTCTTGTGACACATGACAATAAACACTTTGAATCTTGAATCTTATGACAGTGTTTTCACTAACCCTGCAGCTCAAAACAAAAAGTAATCTTTGCATTCAGCATCTGACAAACAGCAATCATTCTACTATATATAAGCACTGATGGGTGACGCCTACTTCACTTCAGATGCTTGATTTTAGTCCACAACGTCATACCTGCAAGAAGATTACAGGTAACACAGCGGTTCCAAAACTGCAGGGTGGCTGGCTGCCTTTGAGAAGGACAGAGAGTCATTGTGCTGGGCGGGCACGTGATCGGAAGAAAAAAACAAGACGTGAAACTTAACTGAATTAATTGGATTGTCACAGACAAACGTAATGCATACCACTGTGGCAAAAATTCATGCGACTCAGCTACCTCCTTTTCTCCTGCCAAGACAGGCTTGCTTTGAAAGGCGTTGATAAACGTGAATCATTTGGAAACTATACAGAAAGAAGAGCTGTTTAAAGGTCTTAAAGCAGTCACAAGATTGCAACAAACAAAGTTAAAATTAAAAAAACAAACAATTTAAAAAACAAACAAAACAGTTAAATCTGGTGATCCCCAATAAACCAGTCGAGTCTAAAATATTTTCAAATCAATCTCAAGTTCACTATCAGCACAGCCTTTTGGGTAATTAGGTTTGGCTCGCTCTGATCCCAGCATTCCTTCAATGGTAAAATTACTTTGCTATCAAGGATCCTTTTCTCCTGTTCATGGAAAGCACTGCTTTCAATAACATATGGTTTCAAATTATTTATGATAAAAGCAAACAAAATCAGTATTTCATGCTTGAAGACATTTTTTTTTAAACTACCCTGCATTTGAGGCATATGATGGCCTGATAACTGTATGGTACAACACAGATGTTTTTATCCTGTTAAAAGGAGCACTCATAACTAAAATCAAGCACAGATAAAAGGTGATGAATGCAGGGTGAGCTTTGTAACATCAACCCTGCACAAAGACGCAAATACTATCTGCTTCTTCCTAAATGTCTTACATGCACATCTTTGCACCACTTCGTGGTGGATGCATTTGTTTTGCAAAAGCGTGCGCATCAAAACAATCATCGGAGTATACCGGAGTGGTGTACATTACAAATGGCCTATTACAAAACACCAGTAAACCCATAAATGTCACCAGTATCTCACCAGTCACTGCACTCATCACAGATCCTCAGCAAAGCAAAACAAAGCCTCAAACTAACCATTCTGTGCCAACACCCACGTAATCCCAATCATCCATTGGCAGAGCTGAGAATTTGTCCCGCCTCTACGAGTCCTGGAATAGCCGTCGCAGCCGTCAATCAAACGAGCTGCTTCATCACAAACAGCCTGGATTCAGCCTAGGTTGAGGCAGAAGATAAACAACTTGGAGGCCTACATGCCCGTGGCCTAGATAACCGTGTTTCACAGATATTTAAAGTAAAATCCACCACCTACCACAAAACCTCAACGCAGCACTGCAGTACGACTCAATCTGGGGCACGTTTAGTCATTTATATCGAAGAAGAAACACTGAATCAAACGTTTAAGTGCCCAATCCAGACGATAAACTATAGAGCAGTTATTAAGGTGAAAACCCAAAGTAATATAATAACACTAATAAATCGTCACTAAGGCCATTTCCTCGGTGAAAATATAAGTCTGCTGTTTGCCTTCGACCACATGGAAATTTCTGGCTGTGTCGAGTCTTTTTTCCAGCTGCTCTCGATGTGTTGTGCATTGGGGGGCGTGTACCTTAATGAGACTTCGGGCTGCCTGCAAAAAGTCACAGTAGAAGGGGTTTCACGCGACTACCGAGGCTTTTCCTACCACAAATACACCTCCAAACAGTCTACAATTGCTCTGCCACACATATAAAGGCATGCTGTGTAGTTTTAAGTGCATTCCAAGCCGTGCAGGATGACTGTAGGTAGTTTTAAAGTAGAGTTCAAGCCAATCTTCTTACATAAGTACACTTTTGACCACGCTGATCCAGAATCAGTCACTTCTGGGAACTGACCCACTACACTTTAGAGGACTACATCAGCTAAACAGTCTGTTTTTTGTGGACAGGTTTTTAGGCTCGGTGATCGAAATTTACCTGAGCTCGTCGTAAAGCATTAGCTAGCCACATTTCTCCACTTCCTACAGGAGCTCAACAAACTGCGGTCCAAAAAACAGAAAAGAAGAAAAAAAAAAAGCAACCAAACAGCTTGTGTTTTATTCCTTCTGGTTGGGTTTTTAACGCGGAACTGGACAGTCTCGCTTCCTTTTCAGCTGCAACCTCAGTCAGTATGGCCTCCGTCCGCCCCCTTCCTCATCCCAGCTGAAGCCCGATACACAACAACAACCGACCGACAGTTAGCTTCAAAGCTAATCCGCCGCGGCGGTGAAAACACCCATCCGCTGCCAAGCCCAACTTTCTCCGAAACGGATGAAAAACGGTCGTACTCACTTTGAGGACGCCCCCACACACGTTTCTCTCGGTGTTGGACCTCGTGTGTGTCCCGTGTTAGAGATAATAACGTTCCCTTTTCAATGGAGTCCGCACGCTGTTAAAGCTCTCTCGGGTTTGTTTTGTTTTTCTTCTTCCTGACGGGTTCCTGGAAAGCGCGTGACTGCCTTACCACGTGGTGCGCCGCAGGGCCAATGGGAGAACAGCTCGAGGCTGGACCTTAACATCCTGCAACATTTCACCATTTTTTTCCCACTTTCTTGAGGTTCAGCTCATTATTTAATAAACAATTTATTAGACTTCTGTCTGCTTTAGAAAACTGAGACCAAACACTCAAAAGAAACTATCCCCAAGTTTATAATTTTTATTATTATTTTTATTTCTTACATTTTTATTTAGAAAGCTTTAGGTTTTTTGTGTTTCTTGGGAATCGTGTTTCGCTATAATATGTTTAAAGTGATCTTGAATAGTTCTTCAGGCTTTCGGAAGGGTATAATCAGTGTCTTAATAGGTTTTGGTTTAGACACCGATTGCTTTTTCATTCATTTTTGGCCCAGTCCTTGTACCTAAGCATTTTCAGAGGAATATTTTTTGTTTGTTTGTGTGTTTGTTTGCTAAGACAATGAACTCTGATCTATGAATCATTCAAGCACACAAAGTCTTCTGATTCAAGGGATGAACCGGTGTTGTTTCTACTCATAACAAACAACATGGCAAAGAACCAGTTAAATTTTTTTAATCTTTAGTCACAAAACCTTTGCTGAATCTACAAAAATGATAACACAGTTTGAGAGAGATAAAATAGCATTTTTGCACCAAGAAGGTGATTCCCAAAAAGCTGTTAGCTGAAAACATGGCATATATCATGGTTTGCAGTGTGTCCTTAAAAAAAAATTGGAAAATAGATAAGTGGAGGACAAAAGAAGAAGGGGAAAGGCTAAAAGTCTATCTGTAGCAGATGTCAATAAGAAACGGGGAAAAGTATAGCAAAGACCTGACACAACACCTGAGAGATGCATATGATCCTTCAGATGATCTATTGCTCACTGACGCCTCATCAGAAATGGTCTCAGTGGAAGGGTGGCTGTCAAGAAGCCATTAATAAGGAAGAGAAACAAGGCAAAAAGGTTGAGGTACATGTATGTCAAATTACACAAGAACTTATGGAGTGATGAATCCAAATTTGAAAACATTGAGAACAAAACACCATCAGTATGAATGGTGAAGGTCAGGAGAGAACGTCTACAACTATCTGCAAAATACAGTTGAAACTTTCAGATACAGTTGAAATGTTACAAGACTCAAAACCAGGTCAGGCAGTGTAAAACACATCACACAAACACACAACTGAAATAAGCTAAAAAACAAACAAACAAACAAAACAAAACACTGACAGAGGCATAAAGGGAGAGAACATAAACACGACTGCACTAGTGCAAATTTTTGGTATGTGTTGGGCTTTATGAATCAGTCAATAACACTGAATAAAAACAGGAAACTCTATGGGTGTGCAGTCACTAACACTGAGCAAAGACGGACAGATTCCCTTCAAAGTTTTTCTTAAAAGTTTTAAGGAGTGATAATGACAGGGTGATAAAGTGAGAACATACTCAGATGCCATGCGAGTTCCTGGCGAGATCAAATGAACATCCATGGTTATGACTAACTGAGTAAAGAGCAAACAAAGTTATCAAACAGCTTTTTAACAAAGAGTCTATATGATAAAACAACTTAGTGTCCTTGTCGAAGAACAGACACATCCTTTCAGAAGAACCAGTGGCAAGCTGAAAAATATAATTTAAAAGCTTTCAGTTCTCTGGTTGAGGAAAAGCAGGACTAACAGAGTAAGTCTCCATTGAGTTCATTCCAAAAGAAATTATCCAAAAGGGGGTCATAAAGCCAACTGTTCCAGGCAGCCTCCACCCACCTCTTCACTGGAAAGAGAAACCACCAAGTGTCAACACGGGTACAGACTGCCACAAACAAATTTAAATTTACCATTAAAACATCCTTGAAAAAAAAAGACTTATATTTTGATCTGAACTAAAAGTCTTGATGAAAGAAAGGGAGCAGAAAAAAATTAGTAATTTTAACAGAAAATGAAACAACATAGCTCTTTCAGTTTCATTATTACTCAGTCCAAAAAGTGAAAGCTTGATGGGTGGTCTTCAGATGTGGGGGTTTGCAGTCAGAGGACTCTCTTAAAGAATCACATCGATCTCTTCTGCAGACTTCCAAGGCAGACTTAAGTTGTTCTGGTAACACGTGGTGGACCAATGCCTCACTAAGACAAATATGTGTCAGTTTTTCCCCTTTAATTTGTTTCCCATCTGTATCTGTCAGGTCGGCTGAATACAGCAGTCTTACAGACTTCCACTGATTTAATAGCCTCAGAGTAAACAGATCACATGCACATCAAACGGCCTGTGGGAAGCTCTGCCAGGCTGGTAAGGGATGGGAGAGGATCAGATAGAAGAGAACAGTATGAAATATGGAGTGTGTGTGTGTGTGTGTGTGTGTGTGTGTGTGTGTGTGTGTGTGTG